GATTTGGGTTTTGCTTACTTTGTGTTACTACCTGCGCAATGTAAGCACAGAGAAGATGCCTACATATACCTCAGTTCAAAGCCCAGGAGGTTCACTACTCAGTCCTTTCAGCTCTCACAAGAACAAGTCTGAAAAACATTAGACTTTCAGATGTTTCATCATACAGAACAAATGGAACAAAAATACAGACTTGAATAAAAACAGTCTAGGGGAATTTCTGCAGAACTTAAAACCAAAAGTTTAAGATTTGGTTTATTTTTTACTCTCTGCTTAGAGGTCTTGCCTCCTAAATTTGTTGGCAGAATGTAGTAAATACTTACTCTCCCTCAATTAAGATACATGGGCTGCTATTACAAGTTTCTTTTGGCAGATAAGATCACTAAAAACCAGCTCAGTACCTTCAGTTTTTATTCTGTAGGGCTTTGTGCAGCCTGATTTTAACACCCTTATTTTGCTAACTTATGGATTACATTTCAAACTCTTCAAATGCCACATGTCAGTGCATTATTGTACAAAACATAGGGACATCCTGTACCCCACAGAGCAATGTCACTTTCTGCTGGGGTTTTATTACTCCAAAAATAGGTGAGTGTGCTGAGATATTAAGCAGAGTGGAAAACTAGGATCAGAAGTCAAATCTCGATTTTGAAGGAAAAAAACCAAAGAAGTAAGAGAAAGTTAAACTTGGGAATAGCACAGACTCAATGGGGTACAGTACTGCTCCACACTCTTAGCTGCAGTTTTGTGTGTCAAACTGTGTGCTGTGGGGGTATCAGTCCTTTTTTACAGGATTTGTGCAAAAGTGCTGTTCCTACATAGGTTCCCTCTTCTTTGCTTGTTGAGAGCTGATTCAAAGCTCTTTAAACAGAAAAGATTTCTCCTGGCTTCAGTGAATTTTAGATCAGACTCTTTGTCTGGTTTCTAATGGGGGCAGTAAATTTCCCCATATATAGTATATGGTATAATTCTTTTGAAGTATTCTTCAGCTGCCTTTCTATATACAATAGTTCATTTGTGAGAGTCTTGAAGTATAGCTACAAGAGAGTTGAACAGAAATGTGCTGTCTTACTGGATTTCCAAATGAAATAATAGCCAAGTATCAGTCAAACACTTTCAGCTTGAAAATTAAGTCAGGTCCTTTGAAGGGCACAGCTGTATTGCATTTTAGGGGCCAAATTATTATCACTAAAGCATTAAGACATTTAGGCACTATGATCACAAGTATAAATTCAGTCTTTCGTTTTTTGTTGCATCCAGCGGTACTGGTATGTTTGCAAAATTATGCAGTATTGTTAAAAGTCCTCATAATCCCTGAACCAATGTTGGGAGGGTTTGTTGGTTGGGTTTGGTTTTGTTTTTTTTTTTACTGGCAGTACTGACCAGTACTTTTACTGAGTTTTGTAAGACTTCTATAGTGTTCCTAAGTTTTTCCCACCATTGTTATATTTTACAGGACAATTTAAAATATATATATTTAAAAAAAGGCATTTCCTTTGTAGATTGTCACTGTGTTTCTGAGGGGTAATTTATTTTTAACTCAGAATTAGAGGTGACCAAATGTAAAAGATTTAAGGAAAGAATAGCAGAAGTCATGTTAACTTTATCACAGTCAACGCGATACCAGATTATGGTGTCTTTGAAGCTACTTCACTCTGAACCCAACTTTCATCAAGCTGACAAAAAATGGTCATTTGGGGACTCTTTTGTGTTCAGCATTCAGCTTCTAACAAAATAAGTATATTGTGTGTTTAACATGCCAGAAATAAGATGTGAAAGACAAGAACGGCAGGATTTAAAAGACTGTTACAATGCACAGCTTGTTCAGTGCCCCTAAACACTAACTTTCAAAGCTTTCTAGTATAGGTTTTGTTATTTATTGCTACTGCCAGAGAAAGCTCATAATGTGACAAATGAAAGGTGAAGAACAATTAAGATGAATGCTAGGACATAGTCTACCAAAAGAAATGCTTTTCTAAAATTAATTCTTTGCACATTCTTTAGCTCTATTTGAAGTTCAAGAAAACCTGATTCAACTAACACAATATTTTTTTGACAGATTCTCCCAAGCAGTGCTCCCATAGAAGGTGGGACAAAGCTGACACTGTGTGGATGGGACTTTGGATTCAGCAAAAATAATAGATTTGATTTAAAAAATACAGTAGTCCATATTGGAGGACAACTTTGTGCTCTGGAAGCAAAATCTAGCAACAAAAACAAGTAAGAAACCTAAAAAATGTTAATGTCCTTTTATATGGATTTTTTTACAAATATGTATCATCTCAGATTCTGAAATTTCAAGTTGAAAAAAATCCCTTGGTTTGATAAGCTCCCCAAGAAAAAAAGTGCTCAAAATGGAGAACAATAAATCAAGTTTATGCCAGTAGCTCCTGCAGCAGCTTTTTCTGGTTTGTCTGTGAAATGGTGTTCAACATCTGTGGGAGCTGGCAAGAATGAAGCTATTCAAAGTTCTGAAAAGCGGGCAGGTTCCTTTGGCCAGGATCCTGCTGGGCTCAGTTATGTCACCTCTGTCTTCTTGATCTGTGAAGCTGCTGGAGAGAAATGTGAGAAGATGCAGATATTTCATCATGCGGAGGCTTATGACCCCCAGCTGCACCTCTCCTCCTCTTCCTCAGAAATAAGTATTTGAGATGGTGGGATAATGACTTAAGACAGAGGTTATTACAATTGTTATCTGGAAGAAAAAGGGAGTTCAGTGAATATCCTCTCTCGGTTCAAAGCATATGACTATCTACCACCAAAGCAATGTGCAAATCATGGCACAGCTTCTCTGTTCACATATATAGCAGCAAGTATACTCCAGCAAGTACTCAAGAAGTATTGAGCACTCTCCTAACTGCTGTTCTCAACAGTCTTAATGGAAACAAAACGATTTAAGGAGATTATGTCACATATGAGACTGTGTGAATGTAATATAATACATTGACATATGCTGCCACAAAACTTCAAGTTTAATTTTTTGGTAATATTTAAATTTATACAACAAATGTGTGTGTATGATGCATTTTTTCTAATCCTGCCAAAATTTGATACTAAAGGAAAAGAAAAAAAAAGACCCTCAGCTGTTGAGTGGGAGGTCTTTTTTTTCTCTAGCATGCTTCTTTTTTCTGAAATATATTTGATATACTATTATTATTATTATAATTTGCTGGCCAAGTATAAAGACCACAGTGTGTGTATTTAGTATTAAAGAGGAGGAGCAGAGTTCTTTTAGCTGTTACTTCTGAAATGTCCTTGATGCTTATACATTGATGATCTGTTTAGTATGTATTCTTCATTATTATGAGTTTGAAATGGTTCTATTTTAATACAAAAAAAGTCAAGAAGAAACTAAATGTAATCCCTTTTTTCCCCTTGTTTTCTAAAGGCTTGAATGCACAGTTCCTGCTGCAAAAAGTCCAGGTTTTAATATATCCAGTAGTGTTTCTGTTGGACATGGCAAAACACTGTTCAGTACATTTTCGTATGTGGTAAGCACTATGATTAAACCTTTATAGTCAAAATTAGCTTCAGTATTAACTGGAAGGAACTTCTCATGAGTCCAATCCAGTATGGTAATTCTATATTCCTGTTGGCTTTATTATTACTTCATGGAAATGCTAATAAATGTTTTAAGATTCTTCTTCATATTTTGAAATAATTTTATAATCCACCATTCTTATTTTTACCATCCCTTAGAATCCTGTAATAACAAGTATATCCCCCACTTATGGCCCCAAATCTGGAGGGACATTGCTAACTGTAGCTGGAAAATACCTAAGGAGTGGAAAATCCACAAGGATTTTTGTTGGTGAGCAACCATGCACTTTGAAAAGGTAATGTATTTATTAAAAAGTTATGCCTTTAAAATTGAAATGGCTTGATTAAAATGTCTTGGAGCTAAAAAAAGCAAATGCAAAAATGCATTAGCTTTCCTCTCCTTGTGTCACTTATCAGGGAATTTATACTGCAATAAGCATTCGGTTCTGGATTATATCCTGAGTTCAGGATGTCTGAAAGATTTCTAGAAGGGACCACGGTTCCCTAGAAGACTTGTGTATTCTGTAATGTCTTCATTAACCTCATTAAAAGGTTGCATAGAGAAGTAGCAAATCAACTTCTAATGGACTAGAAGATGCCTATTTCCCATAATTTTTTTCACCCCAACTCCCACACACTCAGCCTTCTCCCTTGTATTACTAAGAGCTATTGTTCATGCAGCAGGTGCCAGTGAGATCCAGTGGGTGCAGGTTACCATTTCCTACTGCTTTGTTTGGTAGAGACCTGACCAGTGTGGAAATGTGTATCCCATGCAGAGGAGCAGCTACTTCTGCACTGGTGTCAGTGAACAGCCAGAGGCAGCATCACATTGGGACTGTCTCTGGTACAAATAAAACTGTTTTGAGGATTAAGCCAGAATTTCTTGTGTCTCTGTACTGGATCCAGTAGGAGCTCAGTCACAAATCTTTGATGTGCCCTGTGTGGAAATGCCTTCAATCACAGCTGTATATAAATGTTAAATACTAAGCACAGATTCTCTGCAGTGGGTACATCCCACACTAGCACCTTTACTTGAGGTTTTTAACACAGGATAAGTCCTGTGGATTTGAAAGAGGCATTATCCCTTGGTTACAGCAGATCAGGTCATTCCCCTTAAACCTGGAATGTGGTGGTGTTTTCCAGGCTGAAAGCTGCCTTTGCAGGGTGCAGGGGCTGATGTGGTTGTCAGCAGTGCTAGGGAAACACCTTCCAGTAGCAAGTCAACTAAATTAAGATGAATCTTGAGCCTAGGCAGTGGTGCTTTTTGCCATATGATTATCCAGTGGGAAAATCAATGACATTTTTTTACAAGCGGATCCCTAGGCGAGGTTGGTGCTTACTAAAGGACAGTGCTTTATAATGCTGACAAGCAATCCCTTTGCAGTCCTCCCAGCATACTGGCGAGCACTGTGGAGTGCTACACTCCAGCGCAGGGAATTCCCCAGGAATATCGTGTGAGAATGGAAATCGATGGAGCTATTCGAGACGCGAGCAACCATTTCACGTACAGAGAAGACCCTGTTGTTTTAAAAATTCATCCCTCCAAATCTTTTCTTAGGTGAGTAAAAGTTTCTCATAGAAACAAGAAAAATAACAAATGAACAAAGAATGGCTATGCTGCGCAGCAATCCATCAAAAGAAATTGCATTTTTATCTCCATCTGCCATGCCAATTGCTTCCATTATGGTGCAGTTGCAGAGGGCAGATCATTTCCTTTCAGAGGTGAAGGAGAAGGGGGAAGGGTGGCTCTTTTCTTTATGTGATTTCACTCCTAGCTGTTGCTGAACCTACCTGTGGTGTCCTACTGAGATACCTACTGTACAGCTAAGTGTGTCTCCTGTACTATGTGTGGACATTACACTGATTAGTGAGGAAAATAATTTAATGTGACAAGTCAGGGGTACTCAGGAGAGCAAATGGATTTTAAAATAGTCTAAATCCAGCGCTATATAAATATTATGGATATATATGTATGGTAGTGTATGTGTGTTTTCAAGTGGCATATTTATGGTCTCAGTAGCAATAATCCAAGCCATCTGCCTTTGCCAAAATAATGTCAGCAGTAAAACAGACACCTTTTTCAGCACCAGTGCAAGCAATAAGTTAAAAAGCAAATGTGAAGTACAAGTATGCACCCTCTTTTAAAATGTACACATTTGTTTTGTACCCTGGCATACAACAATTTTAAAAATTATTTTTCTTTTCTTTATTTGATTAGTTGTTACAGTAAGTGTAAAATTTATTTCCCAGAAAAATAATCTTACTGCACAAAGCTATTTGCACTCACCCCATATATCCCTAATTCTGGTTTTATGTTACCATTCACTTTAAAATATAATTTGTAATTAACATTATCACAGCAGATGTATTGTTATCCTACTCATCTTCTTTTTTTTTTCTTTTTCTTCTGCTTTTTTTTTTTTTTTAATTTTTCCTAGTGGTGGAAGTACAATCACAGCTGAGGGAATCAACTTGAACTCAGTGTGCTTTCCTCAGATGGTGATTACTGTACCTAAACTGGGAATGAACTTCTCTGTGGTGAGTCAGTCTTAGAGAAGACAATCTGTTATCTTTTCATCTTGGTGTGGTGAATGTTTAAGAATTTTCAGTCAAAATACTTTGACTTTTGCCTTGAAACTTTGGGGCTTCCACTGATATTTTGGTGTTTTCTGCACAGACTGTTTTCACTGTATAGGCAGAACTCAACATCAAATTTGAAATTAGGCTGAAGGTACAACAGCAGTTGGAACCTTTTCCAAAGAAATAAGGCTTTTACAGTATCTGATAATAAGATTTTCATATTGCAATTTAGCAATGCAAATTCAAGTGACTAAACACAGAGCAACGCAATACAGGTATGTCAGATTACATGGCAAGTTCAAGCTGCTGTGATATTCAAGTGGTGACTGTGGATATGCGACAAAGAGGAAGAGTAACTATCTCAAATCAAAAGTAAGTATTATTTTGAAGAATTTCTGCTTGCAAAATTCCCTACTGGGGCAAATCTTTCCTAATTTACCAAAGTTCAACAACTAAAGTTTGGGGCTTTGCAATTGGGTACCTCTGCATGAACAGAGGGTCAGTCAGGGATCCAAGCCTTCTGATTTTTGTTCCTGAGTTGACACTACACAATGTCTAAATCTAAATAAGGTGTACAGATGTGACCATGTGATCCACTTTAATTTTTATAAAGCGAAGATTGCATTTAATGGCTAGTTGTACTGAAACTGTTTTCTGTAAGCCTTTGCCTACACGTTTGTGTCGTACCTCCAATATTTTCTTATCCTGTACAGTCTGTTTAGCCTAACTGAAGCTAAATTGACTTACACTCTTTATGACATGCTATGTTACTGTTCATATTCTCAGGTTATTTCTAATGATCATCATACACTATTTCCTGAATTGAATTCTAAGTATTAGACCAAGGTTTGCTCAATGCATTTTAAATGGTATGTCTGCAAATTTGCAGTCTTTTATAGCTTCAAGGTCATCATATTCTTCATGATCCTAATTTGTATAATATTATGAGTGTCGGGACCTGAATTTCCACAGCATGTAGTCGTGGCTTGTAATTTAATGGGTTCAGATTTTAATCTGAAAATCAGTGCCTTTGCAATGAAACACAGTGTTCAGTGTTATCAAAAAGTCACTTTGCCCCTCAGTTGAAAAACAAAACATTTCAGTGAAATCAACTAAACTCAAAATTTATTAGGCTTTGAGTAATGTAGGCATGATTATTTTTAGACGCAAAGGATTTCCAAATAAAAGATCATTGCTGAAACCATGTCTTGAGATTTTGCTTTGTGTGGGTTTGAGCAGTCTTTTTTTCTTAAAGTAAAGATCACTCATATGCTTTCTCTGTTCCCCTGTGAGAATATGCGATATTGCTTCTCTTCAGGCCCCGATACTGCATTCCTTGCTTGTCAAATATTTGGGCCTTCACAGAATCACCGAATATGCTGAGTTGGAAGGGACCCACAAGGATCGTCAAGTCCAGCTCCCAGCCCTGCACAGGAGCATCCCTCAGAGTCACACCAAGTGCCTCAAAGTATCATTGAAACGCTGCTTGAACTCTGTCAGGCTTGGTGCTGTGGCCACTTCACTGGGGAGCCTGTTCCAGTGCCCAGCCATCCCCTGGGTGAAGAAACTTTTTCTAATATCCAGCCTAAACATCTCCTGACACAACTTCAGGCCATTCCCTTGGGTTCTGTCACTGGTCACCACAGAGAAAACATCAGTGTCTGCCCCTCCTATCAGGTTTCAGGAAATCAGGTTTGATAAGCAGGACCTTGCTCTCATGAAGCTGTACTGGTTGTAACCAAAGACTGTGTTGTCTTTCAGGTGTTCCTCAATACTTGCCATAACAATCTTCTCCATAACTTCACCAGGCACTGAAATGAGACTGACAGGCCTGTAGTTTCTGGGGTCCTCCTTCTTGCCCTTTCTTAAAAACTGGGACAACATTCACCAGTTTCCAGTCAGCTGGGACCTCTATGGATTCCCAAGACTGCTCAAGAATCATTGAGAGAGGTTTTGAGATGACATTATGTAGCTCTTTGAGGATTCTGGGATGAATCCCATTAGCCCCATAGATTTTTAGGAATCCAGCTGGAGTAGCAGATACTGCACAATTTCAGGGTCGACTGGGAGTTGATCATTCTCTGTCGTGGTCCTCCAGCCTAGGGCACTGAGACACCCTTGGTCCCTCATCTGTGTTGAAAACAGAGGCAAAGAAAGTGTTAAACGCCTCTGCCTTGTCTATGTCCCTGTTTGTGAGGTGACCATCCACATCCTGTAATGGGTCAATGATATTTCTATACTGCCTATTGCCATTAATGTATTTGAAAAAACTCTTTTTATTGATCCTCACATTTCCAGCCAGCTTCAACTCCAGCTGAGCTTTGACCACATGAATTTTCTCCCTAAAACAGGAAGCAACATCTCTGTATTCTTCCCATATCACTTGACCTTGCTTCCACTGGGCATACACCTTCCTTTTGTGCGTTATTTCCAAGAGAAGATCTCTGCTCAGCCAAGCCGGCCTTCTGCCTCCCCTGCTTGATTTCCAACACTTGGGAATTGCTGCTTCTGTGCCCTTAGGAGGTGATGTTTGAAAAGTGGCCAGCAGTGATGGACTGCAGCACCTGCAAAAACACTTCCCAAGGGACCTTACTTACTCGTTCCCTGAGCAGCCCAAACTCTTCTCTCCTCAGAGCTGAGGTTTTGGTGGCACTTTTGCTCCTGTCAGCATAGATTTTAAACTTGATCCCTTTGTGGTTGCTGTGGCCAAGACAGCCACCAATCTCTACTTTGCTCACAGGACCCACTCTGTTGACAAGCAGCAGATCAAGGAGAGCATCTTTCTGAGCAGCTCCCTTAGTTCCATAAAGTTGTCATCCAGGTTTTTAGGAATCTTCTGGTCCTGATTCTACCACCTGTGTGATGCTCTCAGTTAATTTCAGGAAAGTTGAAGTCACCCATAAGGACAAGGACAGTTGATTTTAGTTCCTTAAAGAATAAGTCGTCAGTGTCATCGTCCTGGCTGGGAGGTCTGTAGCAGTCTCCCATGTTGATATCTGCATTATTTGCCATTGCCAACTGTGAGCTCCATACATTCTAACCCTTCTATTACATACAGTGCCGCCCTTCCACATCTTCTGCCCTGCCTATCCCTCCCGAAGATCCTGTAACCATCCAACAGGGCATTCCAGTCACAGGTCTCATCCCATCAGGTTTCACTTATGCCAGTGATGTCAAATCTCTAAGGCTGGGCCAAAGCTTCACACTCCTCTTGTTTGTTCCTCATGCTGCGTGCATTACTGTAGAAATATTTCAGGTGTGGTACATTGTAACCAATACCTCTTGAGGCAGATTGAGGCATCCCATGAGTGCTCATTTCCTCAAGTTTTGGCACATCATCCCATTGCTCATCACTGGTGAGCCTGGTTTTGCCCCTTTCCCCCTTCCAAGCTAATCTAAAGCCCTGTCAACAAGCCCCACTGGCTCCTGCACTAAAATTCTTTTTCCCCTCTGAGAAAGCTGCATCGTGTTGGGTAGACCAGGTGTTGAGTGGCATGGCATGGTCAAAAAACCCAAAATTTTTCTGATTACACCAACCTTGGAGCCACTCGTTGACCTGATTAATCTTTATATTCCTATTAATATATTCCTTGTTACTGGAAAGATGAAGGAGATTACTACCTGTGCTCCTGATCCCTCTACCAATCGTCTCAGGGCCTTGAAGCCTCTTTTGATTGCCCTCTTTGTTATTTCATTGCTGCCAGTTTGAACAACCAATAGTGGATAGTAATCAGAGTGCCTTATTAGACTGGAGAGTTTTCCAGTAGTGTCCCTTACCCAAGCCTATGTAAGATAGCAGACTTCTCTGCTATCATTTGGGTCTGATCTGCATATCGGGGCCTCTGTTCCACTTAGAAGGGAGTCCCCTATTACAACTACCCTTGTTTTCCTCTTGACAGAGGAGGTCTGGATGCGGGTACAGGTGGTGTTATTTTAAAGGACCCCACTACCCTAGAAGGACTCACACCCATCTCCTCGGTTGTCCGGCCTTCTAATTCCAGAGCCTCATACCTGTTGTAGAATGTGCTAGTCCTACCTGTCATATTTTGAGAAGGAGGAGGAATCTTCCTCCTGGTACGTGCAGTGACCAGCTTCCAGCCTTCATCTTTAACAGACTAACATTCCTTTGACTAATTTCCCTGTTGAGTTCTGAGTCCACCTCCTTCTCCACTATAACAGAGGTTCAAAACTCCCAAGAGTCTTGCTCTGTCTCTTGCTCTTTTGCTCGAATACTGCGAAGCCTGTTTGCTTCTTCCCGTAGCTCCTTCACCTGGTCACACAGCTCTTCAATGACAGCACATCTTCTGCAAAATAACTGTTTGTCTGCTCCAGCATCATGAAGAGGCATCAGGCGCTTCTGGCAACCTGTGACCTGGAGAGCTGCATCTGCCATCAGCAGCTCTGGCTGGCTGCAGGCCTCTGGCATGGCTGGTACAGTGAGTCCTGCAGCAACAAGGAATTGAGCTTTATGGCACGTCAGCCATAACTGAGGAAGCTTAAGCTCTACCTTACCAGTTTCTGAGCCTGTTAGCTCTGTTGGCTGCTCTGTTGGCTGCTCCCAGCTGGTCAGAGAGGAGCCTTTCCTGCTCTCCCTGCCTGTGCAAACTGCCGTGCCACGTGCCATGCCCTGTTCACCACACTCCACCATTGAAATTGCCCCTTGGTCACTCCCAGCACCACCCCTCCTCCACTCCTTGGCTGCCGAGGGCCCCTGGGTCCACATGAGGCTGCACTTCGGTGTTCATGGTCACGGGAACCCCTGCACACCCCAGTCTCACCCCAGAACCGTCTTTCAGCTGCCTCTGGTGCTGCCTCGCTTCTGTAGAATCTGAACAGATTTGAAAGGATCTGAAATTTTAAAGAACTAAATCCACTGTCCAAAAGTGACTGCCAACTCCAGGCAATGGACGCCATAGAATTTACTCTCTCCCCCAAATATTGGGGAGCAACCTTACCTT